GATTGTGGGGCTGGTGCGGGATCGGGCAGTGTTTCGTTCTGCTGTGCATGGGGTCGCTATGAGTCGGAAACGACTCGACGGCACTTAACAACAACAACAAAGCAACATAACTATATACAGAGCATGACAGTAAACCCAGGCAACTGAGCAGCAATGAGGCAGGCACAGGGGGCAAAATAAACCCCCCTGAGTTTTCAGTCTGTGGTGGCATAGATGTAAAACTATCGGTCTCTGACCGTGTCATTAAGAGTCACTTGCTACATCTATAACATGGCAGTAGTAGAGATTTCTTTCATGCAAAATGATTTTAAAGGCAACACATGACAAATTAGGCTTTTAGTATAAAATAAAAAATGAATAGAAATCTAAACAAACAGAATACCTCTCTCAAAACAAAAAACCACAAAACAAATGAATAAACCATAGTATCAGAATTTCTTTTCACAAAATACAAGTTGTAGATTTTAATTTCATCTGCATAATTAATGTATACTTGATTTTCAAAACCTGTAGGAAAAAGGCAACAGAATTATCCACAAAATAACCTTTCAGATTAGAAATATCAACCCTGCACTAATTCTCAACAATACCGAAGTCTTAAACTCAGATGAAAATTATCAACTCCTTTTTCAACAAAAGTGAATTTATGTAGGCAAGGGTTATAATGTATGTCATGTCTTTTTTTCCTTCTGTTTTTTATTATGTTTGAATTCCCCTAGACATAGACATCTCCCTTTCAAGTATACAGCTATTTTCATCTAGTGATTTAACTAACAATCAGATGTACTGAAATCTATCCTTCAATTCTCATCTTTACCCAAAGCACAAAAAAGAAACTCGGTTTTAAACGGTTACTCTTATAAAAGCATCAAGAGCCTATGGCTATCTTTTGTACTTAAGTTCCTGTAGAGCTATAGTGTTCACTGCTGAATTAGCTGTTGATACCATAATTTTTATTGAAAGTAAAGGAACTTAAAGTATTTCAAAGTTTTAAGAGAAAATTTTGATAAAGAACTTACATAACAAAAATATAAATTGTTTGGAAGTTGATTTTAGGATGAGTAATCTAAGTTTAAATGACTCTAAGATATGATTTCTTACTCTTTCAAATGGCAGTTAAGCACTTGGGTGCTAATCCAAAATGTTAGGGGTTTGAATCCATCCATCACGGGAGAAAGATGATGCAGTTTATTTCTGTAAAGACTATACAGCCTTGGAAATGCTATAAAATATAAATTCTACTCTGTTCTACAGGTGCAGTAGGAGTTGGAACTGACTGGATAGTAATGGGTTTAATGTCCAGAATAAAGCTTTTACATTTGTTTGTTTTATATGCCACCATATGTTTAAAAAAGAGTAATCACTTTCATTTCAGAAGTTTCTTTGGTTACATCAGATCTGATCCACACCCAAATCATGAGTGTATATTAACTGCATTACGGAGCATGATGACAGTATCTCTGGAAAATTCTACAACCAGAACTTTGATTTCAAATCAAAGACTTTAGAAGAAGTCAAGTACAGACTCTCGTTTCTACAAATTTCTTAGGGAAGCTCACTAATAATACATGTTTCTGTAAAAATCAGATCTCTAGACAACTTGTTTGGTAGTAAAAGCAACAGTCTGATTTTTTTTTCCCTCCCAAGGATGCTGCAGCTTATCATAAGCCTGGTAGTGAATGTGGAGCTGAATCACTGCTAATTCTAGAGTCAACAAACAAATGTTGCTCAGAAGTCAAATGATTGATAGCTAAATGATGCAGGAGGAAAGAATGAATAAGGGCCAGGAAATGGTTCTAATCATAAAATGAACAAAATAATAATCTACCAGAATTTAGGAATAATGATATTATGGAATTTGCTAAGATTCAAGCTAATTCTGAGTTTAAGTATACTAATTTATCTACTGGTATTTCTACTTTAAATGCATTTTTTAATAAAAGGTAGCTGCAGCATTCAAACTCAATTCAAATTAAATTAACATTAATTTGGTAAATAGTCAATTTGGAATTTTCAATGCCATTACAATACATATACTTAAGCATCTTAGTATCTCATTAAGTTCTTCATTTGTTTTTACCACATTTAATCTTCATGGTAACTCCATGGCAGAGGTTTAGTTATGACTCTCATTTCACAAATAGAGGAGTTCAGGTAGTCTGCCCAAAGTCACAAAGTTGTAAGTGGCTGGACTGAGACCGAAGTTCATCTGGTCTTAAAGTCTATCTGATCTTAAAGACCCAAGGTCTTAACCATGGTAGTTGTCAGTCTCCAAATGTGACTGATCATTTGATATGTCATCTTACTACTTAATGAAGTGACCTGTAAAGATCATGTTTTGATGAATGAAAACTAAGCTTTTTACTTTATATTTTTCAGTTCTATACAGAACTGAATGTTTTATATAGAACAAATATGTGAAAAAGAACAGGTGTTTTAAGCAGCAGTGAGAAGCTCAGGGACCATGTAAAGAAATAGGGAACATGCAAAGAAATTTAGGTCGGTTTGAATCACAAACCTTTCAGCTAACTGTCAAGTGCTACACCGCCTGCACCTCCCAGGTACCCATAGTGAGGATACTTTACAAATATTTCTCACTTGATTTAACTTTCATACCTTCCAGATGTATTCTTCAGTATGGCAAGAGCATCTGGATAGCCATCCATGTTGTAGTCTCCAATATGAAGGGTAATCGGAAGTGGTATTTCCGTTGGTCGTTGTTCATGCACAAATGGTACAAAGCCCCAGAGTGTGCCCTTATTGCTGAAATTCTGTAGCACTGGGATCCACTGTGGTTTAAAGAGAAAAAGATTATAGAGTTATTTTAGGAAAAAAAGTCATCACTTGCAAAACAAATGTATGTTTCATTAAAAAGGTTGTTTTCACTGTTAATTTCTTTCTACATAGATAAAAATTCCCAAGTTAAGCATAATTTTATTTAACTTCTTTATCTCTACAATATATGTATCATAATTTACTCTGGAGAATAGCTGACTGATACTCTGGATGATAAAGGGAGTCTTTTTTTTTTAAATTTATTATCAATCATCTTTGGCTGAATTGGCACACAGAGCTTTAGAAGGCTTTTCACAGAATCACAAAATCTTAGGGTTGTTCTGGTATTAATGACCGTGTAGGTGAACTGCCCAACTTAAAATCTATATTGGATGAAAATATAACCTCAAATGAATACTTTAAAAACTAAAGCAAACTGTAATATCATCTAATTCTTATGTCTTTTCAGGAAGACCAATTTAGGAAGAAAATTAAAACAGGACCAAGCCTCCCTTTTTCTGCTGTGCCTTCTATATGGGAAGATGACTTTAGCCATCATCCTCAGAGCCAAGGAGCTCTGGGGCCTTCCAGACAGGCCTTAAAACTGTTTAAAGTTTCTACCTGCAATTGATAGGGACAATGCAGCCCAGGAGAATGAGCTCTGCCACCGTAGTGGCTAGAAGCTAAATATATAGAAAATTTCTTTATTTCCATATTGATCATAATGGAGAGAACAAAGAGATTCAGCTGATCTTGAAATGAGCTTCTGAAAACCTTTCTTCTGATGGCCCAAATCTTCACTTTTTAGTAACATAATACAATAAAAAATCTAAAGAATAGAAAACATGCCATTAAAATGATAGACGTGCCTATAATTAGCTGAGTGTATGAATGCTGCCACATAATCTGGAAATGTCCAAACAGAAGCAGGTACAGCTGACCTGAAATGGCTGGAGGCCAAATATGTCTACAGATGTTCTTATAAGCAGGTGACTCATTCATATGGCTCTAAGCCAAACTATATTAAAAATGGCTTCCCGAAAAGGGTTCAGTACACAAGGTACCCTCGACATTTTATAGGCTATCCAAAGAAAGCATACTGTGCTATGGAAAAATAACTTTATTTGCGGGAACTGAATTGTTCTAAAAATTGGTATTCTCCTTTAATCAATTTTTCAGTATTTCATAAAGCTAAAAGATATTATTTTATATATCATCCTATTGTTTAAATATTTCATTTGACTTTGAAAATAATTGTTGGTTTTATTTTGGAAGAAGACAGGAAATTTCACAAAACGCTAAGTTATCACAGATTTTTGAAGATGTTGACAATTTATTAATGATAAACCACATTAGACATGGTATTCCTTTTTATGTAGATGTATCAAGGCCTAAAAAGTAGAAAGATTTTCCACTTAACGTCACATCCTTAACAATTACCAAAGAGCTGTGACATTTATCTTCCCAGAAAGAGATGAGTGTATGTGAAATATGCTTATAGTAGCCTGTCACTTAAAGACAGGCTATAATTATTAGATTTACTTATATCTATGAACCAATGATGAAGTGTTACTTGACCTAACACTATTTTAAGTGATTCAAACTTAAAAAGAGTTCAGGATAATAAAACTTACACATGTGAAGTGCTTTTAGAATGCTGACTGTATGAAGATTTATTTTCTTTACTCTTTAATATAAAATATGAGGTTCCTTACCTTCAAGGGCTATCAAAGTCAACACGTTATTCTAGCATTTATTATTCCAAAAAAGAAAATAAAACTGATGGATGCTATATTACTGGTTTCTTTTCAGGTGCTACAGAAATGGAAAAATTCTCAATGTCATAACCTATCACTCCCACATTAATCCTCTGTTGTGACTATCAGATTCTGAATTGTCTACACACAAGCTATAGGTAAAAAGTCAGCATGAGAAAATGAAATAGATCTGTTGTTGTTTGTGTTGTTATGTGCCGTCGAGTCCTCGAGTCGGACCCAACCCATAGCAACCCCTCCTTGGGTTTCTGAGACAGTACCACTATGGAAGTAGATCTAGATACCAGAAATATAAACAAGATCAGCCTTGAAAATAGATATGATGGTCAAAACTCTTCACTAAAGTATGTTTTACCATATTCCCAGTATATAAGATACTAATAGATTATTTCATTATCGAATTCAGAATGAATATTCTCCACCAGAAACTTTTATAACAGTGCTTTCCCCCTCATTAAACCAATAAGAAAAATAGATTTAAATGTATTTCATTAAGTTAAAATGAGTGAGTCAATGATTCAATTTTGGGTTTCTGTTCTGATTCTTGGGAGCTCTGGTGGTACCAGTGGCATTTGACTGCTAACCAGAAGGCTAGCTGTTCAAACCCACCAGCCACTCCTCAGAAGGGAGACGGGGCACTCTACTTTCGCAGAGAGACCACCTCAGAAACCCAAGGATGGGTAACTATGACTTGGAATTGACTTGATGGCAGTGAGTGAATGAGTTCTGATTCTTAAGATATCTTTTCTAAATTCTGAAGACTGTTTTCAAACATATAACTCTGTTTAAATTAGAAACAACAAGTTGACAGCATAGGTAGCCAAGAAGGGATGTTCCCTATGAAGTCTAGGAAATATTTAGAAACTAAGGGGATGCCTAAATTCCAGCAGAACTAATATAAATGAGAACTTTTGATTTTCTTACTCTTAGCAAGCTAGAGTACCTTGGGAATACAAGTTTTTTTTTTTTTTTTTTGGTAACATATAATATATACTGTACAGAGATCAATTTGGTCCTGTCTTTGGTTTCTGAGAGGTAATCTCTGGAATTTCCTGAGTGACTAAGGAGGCCCAGAGATTATACCAGATGATTTGTGCTAATGCACCTGGCCTGGTATCAGCTGACCTCAGGGAGGGAGGAGAACATGATTCAATCATTCATATGCAGTAAGGTCTCAATCATGAAGCCAGTAAAGGCTGTAAACATGGAAGTTCCAGGAACTTCCTGGTTGGTAAAAGACATCAATACACATGGGAGGTTAGCATGCCCTTTTTGGGACAAGGAAGCTCTGCGTTGTGAACCATCTTGGACCTTACTCCATGTGTCTCTTCTTTAGGCTGATACTTTTGCTATAATAAATCTGTAATTTTAAGTATAGTGCTTTCTGTAAGTTCTATGAATCATTATAGCAAATTGTCAAACCTAAAGCAGTATTGGGAGCTAGCAGGTAGAAGTGAGGGAGCCTATGGGAGGCCCCTATGCTTGCAGCTGGCATTCTACAGGGATAGTGGGAAAACCTTGAATTTGTGGCCAGCATGTCAGAAATAAGGGATTTGTGTGGATTCCTAAGCTTCAGCCCGCTATGTCTGCCTATTTGGTAGTCTGAAGGATGGTATCCTTTTAACTTGTGAGATCTGACCTAGCTCTGAGTGACTAGGATCAGAGAGAGAAACTGCTGTGTGGGTGGTATCAGAGACAACTGAAAAGGGAGAAAGTGGAGTTTGATTAATCATCGCATTTTGAGAATTAGATTTATATCAATTTATATCTAAGAACAGACCAAAACACAAAATGTGAATTTGACAAAATATCACTATTTCAATTTCATGAGAAGTCAATGAAAACACAAATAAAAATAATAACAACCCCCAAAATAAAACAAAAATAAAGGGCTCTTATCAGGGATTTAAAAGGAGTTCTGGTGATGTAGTGCTTATGGAACTTGACTACTAACCAAAAGGCTGGTGGTTCAAATCCATCAGCTGCTCCGCAGAAGGAAGACGGGGCAATCTACTTTTGTAAAGATTTACCACCTTGGAAACCCAATGGGGGTCGCTATGAGTTGGAACTGACTTGATGGCATGAGTTTAGTTTTTTGGTTTACCAAGGATTTATTGTAGAAAATAACTCTCAGGATATATCTTATTATTATCATATTTCATCTCTAAATTTACTTTTTCTAGCTACAAGAATAATTTTTATAATGTCTCATAATCATGAAGCAGATTCAATTGTTGTTATGTGCCATTGAGTTGGACCCGACTCATAGCGACCCCTCCTTGTGTTTGAACCACCAGCCTTCTGGTTAGCAGTCAAGTGCCTTAGGCACTATGCTACCAGAGCTTTGGCAGATTCAATTAGACTTGATATTTCACATTTTAGAAAGTATTTTTTTTTGGGTATATTTTAAATTTCTTTGGTTCTATAAACTACTAAATTTTATTTTAGTTAAATGTTTAGGTAAAATAAACCAGAATATTTATTAAATTAAAAAGCACTGTTTAATGAGAATCTACCATAAAGCTCAGATGCAAAGTGCTTTAGTAAGTGGGGAATTCTAAAATACTCAGAAGTTATTTCTCACATTTTTGTCCCAAGAGGAATAAAATGCCGGTCTTCAAAAGTCAGAAAACAATCCTACTTATGCATTTTTCTAATACAAGAATGAAAAAATAATTCAACTCTGGAAAACATTTTTAAAACTGTGTTTCTTAGGAATTAAAATTAAACAGTGCTGGATATATTAAGTGCTTTCATGATACTTGGTAAGGAAGGAGCTGAGTAAGTGTTAGTAGTATTTGGGGAAAAAAATACACAAACATGCTGATATACCTGCTTTTTTCCAGATTTTGCTAAGTAGATAATGCTTTTCTGGCAATCTTTATCTTCACAGCCTGGCAGTAAGAGATCTGTGTGTCCATCCCCATCTGCCAAAAGAAATTCCAAAAGTTCATTAACAGCCACAAAATAAAGTGCTCTTGTTTGGCAGATTAAATTTCCTATTTGTTCAACATTTACATCAGTCTGGAGAAAACCGACAAACTCAACACACAGTGTGGTGGTTATTTTTTTGTGTCAGCTTGGCTGGGCCTGGTTGAGTGACTGGGCAGCTGGATGTAGGATTCCTCATGACAAGACTGGTAATCAACTCCATGGTGGAATCTACTGGGAGCAGCTGAGTAGCTGCTTTTTGGTATGTGATCTGCTTCCTCTATATAAGAAGAAACTTTGAGAACGGTCTCTAGCCTATGGCACGCTTGGACCCTGCATGTAGCGGTGTCATTGCTTAGCAGCCTGTTATGCTCTGCCAACCTTGGGACTTACAATGGACTTAAGTTAATGGCCTGTCATGTGGTTTGGTAACAACAGGACGGTGCCTTTTTACTTGTCAGCCTTGGGGCTTCTCAGCCTCAGCAGCCAGCAGCTGTCTGAGTGAAGAAACACTTCTAGCTCCCGTGGGCCAGGAGCAGGAGGCAAAGCTGGACCCCAAGGTTGAGGGGCTTTCACCCAGCCCCTAGAGCCTGGCATTTGAACTTGGACTTAAAGCCTCCAAATTATAAGAATAAACTCCTGTTTGTTAAGGCCATCCTATTTGTGGTATATTTCTCGTGAGAGCAGCACTAGGTAACCAGAACATTTGGCTTTGTAATGAATGTGATTCAGTTTTTAAAAATTTACTTTCGCACTTACTATCTGGACTGTACCTTGCTTTAAATCACACATTTTTCTGTGGTTGAATGTTTACCCAACATCATAAAAAGAACCTCTTTTCAGGTTTTAATGCTGAAATAATAAAGTTTAAGAAATGTGACTTGTGATTTATTTACATAATTATCCTCGCTATGACAGGAGAAAAGCATGCCATTATTACACAGGCTATATTAAATGTGAAGCTTCTATCTTTATACATAACTTGCGCTAAGTGTCTTTTATACAATATAAACTGAACACTACCAATAAATGGTTATCTATATAAAAGCAAATGAAAGGAATTCAGACGCCCTTTCCAATGACTGTTTTTTTTTTCTTAAGGTGCACCCTATTTCACAAACCCCTGTGGAGGGGGGGTTACTGAGGAACATGAAGTCAGGCCTCTAGCACATCCTCCAGTCTACTGCTTCCTTCCCCACTCCCCACCCCCAATCTAGAGGGGTTTGCAAATTTTGATGTCCTAGAATTAAATCTAGGAGCTCTGGTAGCATAGTGGCTAAGGCACTTGACTGCTAACCAGAAGGCTGGCGGTTCAAACCCACCAGCCACTCCTCGGAAGGAAGATGGAGCAATCTACTTCCGTAGTGATACTGCCTCGGAAACCCAAGGAGGGGTCGCTATGAGTCGGATCCAACTTGATGGCAAAATAACAATAACAACAACAGAATTAAATCTGTTTACAGGGATATTCACAATGGAGTAGTCACCTAGGTTTTCAATTTGAGACCTGACTTTGTGTTGCTGTAATCTTTGATTTAGTTGCTATAGTTTAACTTATGTATATTTATATGTGTATGGATATATTTCACTTGTGCCCAAGGTAGTGCTACACTTGGAAGGAGACAAAAGGGTCAACAATGAACAACTATCCTTCTGGTACAGATTTACATACTAAGAGAGCTGTATAATTATAATAAGCCTATGAAATCTGCAGTGACTTATTCAAAAGGGAAAAAAATAACAGAATTTTAGCCTGAGTGGGAGGAAACACTAGCCAGTGGAAGCTGACCTCACTAAAGTAATAGTCACAGCATAATGGGAAATTTATTTCATTCTTTTAATTACCTGTATTCTTCATTATTATATTATCACTTGTGAGAATAAATCCTTACTTAGAGTAGAACAACATGAAATCAAGTAGTTGAATGAATTGGCAAATATAGAGAACATGTTCAATTTGACAGCATATGGACTTGGAATAGTGAGAATTCAAGAAATTGAGATAGAGGATGTAACCTCAGGCAGGAAGATTTGGAAAGGAGAAGGCTTCATATTAAAGGGAATACATACTTATCACAGTTTTTTAAATTTGATTTTAAATTGTGATTTGGGTGAAGGTTTACAGAGCAAATTCACTTTCCATACAGTGGTTCACATAATATTTTGTCTCATGACATTGACCACAGTTTACCACAATGCAACAGCTCCCCTCCCACTTCCTCCCCATAGTTACCTCTGCCCAGTGTCCATCCCTCCATACACTTAAGCCTTCTGAGAGTCTAATTTCCAGCACAAAGGAAGTTTCCTTTCTTCTAAAGAAAACAAACTTTTCAATCTTACATGTTTCACTTTTCTGGATGTGTTTTTTTTTTTTTGTTGTTGTTGTTAAGTAATTTCAAATGTAAAGAAGTTACAGTAACAAAAATAGTACAAGGAACCCTGAGTGCTTTTAACACAGATTTGCATATTATTAACTTTACCTCTTTTGTTTTACCATTTGTACTATTTTTTTTTTCTGAACTACTTTTTTCCCCCCTGAAACATGCATGAAATTTTATACAATTTGGCCCTTTTTCCCAAATACTTCCATGTGTATTTTCTAAGAAAAGGTATTGTCTCTTACATGACTGGAATTCAGCTGTCAAGTCAAATTCACACTGATATAATACTTCCTCTAATATACTGTCCATATTCCAATTTTATCAGTTGATGTAATAATGTCCTTAAAAGCAAATGATCCAGCCTAGGGGTAGGGATTGCATCTATTTATTTTTAGTCTTCTTAATCTGGAATAGCTGTCTCTGTGTTTTATAAGCTGCATGTTTTCTTACCTCATGCGGTGGTTATGTTTGTGTGTCAACTGGCTGGGCCTAGTTGAGTGGCTGGGCAGCTGGTGGTAGTTATTCCCCATGATGTGACTGGCAATCAACTCCATGGGGGGATCTACCACAAGCAGCTGAGCAGTTGCCTTTGGGATGTGGTCTGCTTCCTGTATATAAGGAGAAACCTTTGGGATAGTCTCTAGTTTATGGCACGCTTGGACCCTGCATGTAGCCATGTCGTTCAGCAGCCTGCCATGCTCTGCCGATGTTGGGACTTACAATGGACTTAAATTAATGGCCTAACATCGGGACTGTGCCTTTTTACTTGTCAACTTGGGTTTGTCAGCCTTAGCAGCCAGCAGCTGTCTGAGTGAAGAAAGACCTCTAGCTCCAGTGGGCCGGGAGCAGGAGGCAGAGCTGGACCCCAAGGTTGAGGGGCTTTCACCCAGCCCTTAGAAGCCTGGCACTTTGAACTTGGACTTAAAGCCTCCAAATTATGAGAGAATAAACTCCTGTTTGTTAAGGCCATCCCATTTATGGTATATTCTGTCGGAGTGGCACTAAGTAACCAGAACAACTCATATTATAAGAATCTTTTACCTTTTAGTATTCTTTATGTGAGGAATAGAGCAGCTTTCAGAAAAACAGGTTTCATGTGGGAAAAATCAGGAACCATGGCAGAATGCTGTTGTTGTTGTTGTTAGGTGCCATAGAGTCATCTCCGACTCATAGTGACCTTAAGTACAACAGAATGAAACATTGCCTGGTCCTTGTCAGACTCATGATCCCCACTATATCTGAGCCCATCATTGCAGCCACTGTGTCAATCCATTTCATTGAGGGTCTTCCCCTTTTCAGTCAACCCTCCACTTTACCAAGCCTGATATCCTTCTCCAGGGAATGGTCCCTTCCATCAACATGACCAAAGTAGGTGAGAAGAAGTCTGGCCATTCTCACCTCCAAGAAGCATTCCGGCTGTACTTCCTGCAGGACAGATTTGTTCTTTTAGCAGTCCATGGTACTCTCAGTATGCTTCGCCCACACAACTCAAAAGCATCAACTTTTCTTTGGTCTTCTTTATTCACTGTCCAGCTCTCACATACATATGAGGAGATTGAAAATACCATGGGTTAGGTGCACCTTAGTCCTCCAGGAGACATCTTTGCTTTTCAGCAGTTGAAAGAATTAGTTTAAGCAATTTCTCTTAGAAATTACTGTGACTTTGTGAGTAGACTAAGAAGGAAATCATGCTGGTAGAAGTGCCAGTTTGTGATCTTAGCACATAGTTCTTAAAGATTTTGTCCCAGGAATTTTTAACATCGGAGTTCCTTCTACTCAGGACTCCAGAACAGTACACCTTTCAAATTTTCTTGAATGCGGAAATCTCTTCTTCAAGACTCAACAGAATTTCCTAATAGAACAAAGGGCATTTTGATTAACTTAGAAACTGCAGTGGAAAAGTTGATCTTTTGCATGGCTGATCACCAGGGACTAAAGAGCCTGTTGAAACATGCTAACTTCGGCTTGATGTGAATCTTGGCTAAATTTCCACTGAAACATGTAAATAATTTTACTGAAAAATTTTAGCAATTCAGAACTGATTTTTGAGAAACTTTCTAATTTTAAAACTAAGAGGAAACTCACCTCCCATCCACTTTGTTGTTGTGTACTGTTGAGTTGTCTCCAACTCATAGTGACCTTACATACAACAGAATGAACACTGCCCAGTCCTGTGCTAGCCTCATGATCCCTACTATACACAAGCCCATCACTGCAGTGACTGTGTCAATCCATCTTGTTGAGGGCCTTCCCCTCTTTCGTTGACCCTCCACTTTACCAAGCATGATACCTTCTCCAGAGAATGAATGGTCCCTTCTAAAAACAAGACCAAAGTAGATGAGACGAAGTCTGGCCATTCTCCCTTCCAAGGTGCATTCCGGCTGCACTTCGTCCAGGAAAGATCTGTTAGTTCTTTTAGCAGTCCACGGTA